CGGCGGTAGGCACCAAAACTACCCTGCTCTTCACCCTAATAGAACACCCTGTCATCATCGGCAAATCTGGGCTGAAAGTTGCGCAAAATACACCTTTAATGACCTGGTGTTGTATTAGGCTGTACTATGGGGGAGGCATTGTTACTCTGATTTATCTGTCATGGGAAGCAGACAATCCCTCCGCTACAGATCCCCCCCCTCATCCCCTTCCCCCCCCCCCCCCGGGCGCCCCCCCCAACCATCCCATCTGTGGCCCTACACCCCGAAAGCAAGGCCCTAAGGTAACCAACTACTACGTGATCATCCACCGCACTAGGCCTAAGGTAACCAACTACTACGTGATCATCCACTGCACTAGGCCGACTGGCCCATCCCTGCCTGTGATGCACGGGGCCGACAAGAATCGAACCCTGGACCTCTCCCTTCGGCACCCTCACTCCACCCACTGAGCTACTCCGTCAACCGGTCTGTCGTTGCGCTGTACTGGGCTGGGGGACAAGTGGGTGGGGTGCCCGCCCACCTAGCACCAACTGATCACGCACAGGGGAGGTTGCCACCCGGCAGAACCGATCCCATGACCTTCCCATTGCGACGCCACAGCTCTAACCCACAGAGCTTTTCTCGATCTGTGCGTGTCATCCTCGTAAAATCAGGGGCCATGCTAATCTTCTCTGCATCATTCCAATTCTAACGAATGGCGTGAAGGACTCTTTTCAGCATCTTTCTCATTTCATCATCTTGGAAAGAAATGTCAAGTTATGGGTGCAAAGTTGCAAACTCACACCAGAAATGTCCCAGATGCATCTGATTGTCATCACAATCGAAATTCATTGCGCATTTGTTTTTGAGCGAGTATGTACTCACTCCTGCTATAAAAAATAAAATAAAAACACTTTCAAATTTCAATACCTCATCGTTGCTGCCCCCTTGGTCTCCAGTATTGCCTCCCTCAGTTAGGATCATCAGGGCTGAAGCTACCTGCGCATCAAGAAAGAGCATCAGCAGCAGCAATCAACAGAAGTTAAAAAGTAGGACTTGAAAAGTGACATGTCATAGACCTTTTCAAGATCTGACATATTACAGCGAAAAAACGAGGGCCGTCAAATCACAGGAAATTCTGCTCCTCCACATCAGCTCTCACACCGAAGGCATGGATACAGAATCCCTCTCTCTGTGT